GATTTGAACAGCTGAACTGCAATAGCAATTAGACTTATATACCACTTCATAGGGCTTTCAGCCCTCTCTAAGCGGTTTACAGAGTCAGCATATTGCCCCCAACAACAATCCGGGTCCTCATTTTACTCACCTCGGAAGGATGGAAGGCTGAGTCAACCTTGAGCCTGGTGGGATTTGAACAGCCGAACTGCAGTCAGCTGAAGTAGCCTGCAGTGCTGCATTTAACCACTGCGCCACCTTGGCTCTGCGCCACCTTGGCTGTAAAGCACTGTGAAGCGGTATATAAGTCTAAGTGCTGTTGCTATTGCAAACTGGAACAACCATATCACCATTTCAGCTAGACAGGTGTCAGAATAGATAGTTTATCAGAGAGAATGTAACTTGCACCTTCAGGAGGACACGACTGGCAGCTTTCTTTCTTTACCTGATAAATTGCCTCATCACAGGCATTCTGTAGTCCTAGGTTGATCATGGTATTTTGCAAAGTCCGGCCCATGTAAAATTCCAAGGAAAGGTAGTAGATTCTCTGGAACAAAAAAAGCAGAGCATATAATAAAATCTCACTCAGCCTGGGACTCCTGACTCTGTGACTGCAACCCGTCCACATTTGGAGGAACCGAAAGAGAAGCTCCTCCAACAAGCAAAACAAACAAGCAAACAAACCCACCAATGGAACAATGCCTTGGAATGGTCTCAATCAATGGAATCCCAAAGAGTTTAAGTCAAAGGAATGCAGAGCATCTCTGGGCCCATATTAGGGTGCAAAACCTCTTCAGAGACAAGTTTCTAAGGTTCATTTGGCTAATGAGTGCCATGCTGGTGGTCTTCTCTAAAAGGAATAGTCTATATGGCTGAGACAATACACGTGTTTGCCCAAAAATAAGACCGGGCCTTATTTTCTTTTGATATCCCCCCCCCCCCAATGGTTAGGGCTTCTTTTCAGTTGGGTGTAATTGTTGACTTACCTCACGGCAGTGGTACCAACTGCCCCGCCCATTGGGAGCCCGTTGCTGGCCCACTTCTTCTGTGGCCGCTGGCCGCTGCTTCCACGCCTCCATTTTGCCTTCTGGAAAGCTCTCTGCAGCTGAAAAACGGGCTCCAGATTGATACACAGGGTGCCCCATGGCTTCAGTTTTGCCTTCAGATGCCTTCCGGAAAGCCCTCTGCAGTCAGTAACAGAGCTGCAGAGCTCTTCAGAGGGCTTTCCGGAAGGCAAATGAAGGCAAAACTGAAGCCAGGGGGCATCCTACGTATCAATCTGGAGCCCGTTTCTCAGCTGCAGAGGGATTTACGGAAGGCTCTAATGGTGGCAACGCATGTGAGTGGCAGCAAGCAGCCGCAGAAGAAGTGGGCCGCAGAAGCAGCAGCCGCAGAAGAAATGGGCTGTAGAAGCCGAAGCAGGTGTAGGGGTGTGCGAGAACTGGTAAGTAGGGCAGCTCCACCCCCCATCCCCACCCTAGCTTAATTTTTACCTTGCCCCACTCTCTGCACCCCGGGGTGGATGGGGTCTTAATTAGGGCTAATTTTGGGGTAGGGCTTAATTTGCGTGCATGCATTCAAAAACACGATAGGGCTTGTTTTCAGGGTGGGTCTTATTTTAGGGAAGACATGGTATTTGAATTGTAATTTAATGTAATCAATACGCAATCTAGTTAATATGATTACAGCTACGATTTCCTCCTTTGTTGTATTAACTATCACATGCAATGTAATACATGTATTACATGCAATTATCTAATAAGCTCTGGAGTCTCTAAGGGTTGCAGCTTTCAAGATCTGTAAGAAATCTGGAAAGGTTCCGGTAGCAGATTAAGGGGAATAGACTTCTCATCCAGAAGCTCTGCAGAACCATTGATATTGGAGCACAGTAACTAGTCCAGTAGCTAGCTAGCAGTAGTTAAATTAGTAAGATAGTACAGGATGGCTTTTTATGCTCCCGGATGTATTTCAGAATTTTTATGGTCCACTTGTGGACTTGCTTTTTCTTTTTCTTTCTAGGATGGGTACAAAGAATGCTGAACTCGGTGGACCTTATCTAGAAAGGACACAGATTCACTTGATGGACTATTACCAATTGTGAAATCAGATCAAACTCACTTTTGGCCCAGATGATTCGACTCACTTTCAAGGATTAGTTTAGCAAAACCGAATGCAATTCATTCATAGCCAGCCCTGTGCGTAGCACTCCAAAAGTATTTCCCCTGTTAGCTTTGCTTTTTCATTGTTTAGTAAGCAAACACTTTTAAAAAAATCATCTCAGGAGCCAAACACCTAATAGTAATCTTGCTGTTATAGATTTGGCAGGCCTAACTGAAGTAAATAAAGGAGTCAGGCCAGGCCAGGCCCTTTAACAAACACAGGGTTTGATTAAACTTAATTTACTCAAATGTGTGCTTTTTTTCTTGATGTCCTGAAGATTCAGTTCAAAGATGACCGATGAAGGACAAGGATGAGCATCCCCCTGCATCCCTCAATATAGATTTGGAAATAAAATAAGGAAGTTTTTCCCAGAAAAGAAAAGTTGAACTCTCCTCCCAAAAATCTTACCGCAGTTCCACACAGTATGTCACATAATCTCACCCTTTATTGTCTTAACAATTGTTAACTTCAGTCCTCCCAGAACCTATTGATTGACTCCATCAGTATATTGTTCGTCTCTATATTAGGAACTAGGAGAGTACAGAATCAATTCAAAATCTGCATTTTAATTTGGAGGATGTTGGCTAAAGCTAATTTTAAATACAGACTTTCTCTGATTCACTGGGTTTGTTATTTATGCATACCTGCTATATTGTACCATTTGTACATTGGCTCTCCTTGAATTCACTAATTATAGAAAAAGTGACATCGACACTTAAATCTGATGCAAAAGGAGCAGCTCTGCTGCTTGATACAAAACTATTTTCTTTTCTGGCATATTTATAAATAAATTATGGAAGGATGCATTTCTGCCTATATTTTTAATCCTTCCAGGTATGCCAGGGTTTATTGTTTGATGAAATTGTATTTTTTTTTAAATACAAGTAATAACATATTATTTGTTTAGACTAATGAATTCCTTTCATTATTTAGGTAAGAAAGGGAAAAACAATGTTAAGAATAATTGTGTTCTCTATATAGCAGTTGAACAGAGAAGGAATTTCTATCTACATGGGGATTTCATTTAATCAGATTGAGTTCATCTAATATAATTAAACAAACAAACAAACAATAAAACAGGCATTTGCACAGCCGGTATTTTTAAAAAATTTACAAGACATGGCTTGTTATTAAAAAGAAAATGCCCAACATATACTGTCTCTGAACGCGAGTCTTTTTCTAGTTACCATCCTCTGCAGTCATCCCAGTCTCATCTCAACAATTGAGATGAGACAGCAACTCCTAGAATTCCTGGACAATAAAGCCAAAGCTGCAAGTTATTTTCAGTTGAAAACCCACTATACTGAGATCAGAGGCTAATATCTTTTTAAAAATCTTCTAATCTGGTGGATGTTTGAAACATGGCTGATATATTGATTCTGTCTTGTATGAAGAACTCTCTTTTTTTCTTTCCCAAAGCTTGGAAAGGATAATATTTACTCGCTTTCTCGCTTTAACCATCTCATTTTATTGATTTGGGTCAAGGTTCTTCTTTGTTCTAAATGTCAACCGAGAGAACTCATTCACGAAACATGGTTGAGTGTGCCACTTCAGAGTCCCATAGAACCTATTCCATACTGAATGAAGACTTAGATAAAATGCTTGACCATTTAAGCTAACCAATGAATTTTTAGCTTCCCAATTTCTTCCACTTTATTTGTCTCACCTTGGGGTCCTTTTCGTAGTAGTATTGCTGAGTGCGGATCCACCTGCCCACCAGGTGATCCCGTACAGTGTGAGCCAGGGCAAAGTAGTAGTCCCGAGGAGTGGCCACATTGCGGTCCTTAACAAGGGTGAAATGTAGATGTCGATTAAAGCCCTTTTTCAGCTCAGCCACATTCTCCACTCCAACAATGCCACGAATGCTGATCTGTTTACGCTTCTCCTGGTCGGTAAGGGGCCGAGACATGGCTGCTGAGGCTGTGATCTGGAGAAACAGAGCAGAAAGATTTCAATCTGATCTGCTTTCAGCACCGACAGAGCACTGACCTCTGGGTCCTGTGGCCAGCTTCTCTCCTCCTCTCTTTGGGACCAGGTTCTGCTCGAAGGGAGGAGTTTAATGCCAACAGTGTCCAGCTTTAAGCAGGGCCTCCAAAGCTGAATCACAGTCTCTCTCCAAAGAGGGTTGTGTGTATGTGTGTCAGAGATCCACGAGCCAAACTCAAATGCATCGAGCTGGGTCAAAGTCCAACGCTATGTAATTCCTTGTATTATATTAGAAATGCAAATAAAACCATGTTTAAAGCAATGCCCCCACAGAAACTTGCCACATCTGAATGCTGACCCTGTTCCAAAAGAGGCAAAAGGGAGAAAACATCCACCCAAAAGGTCTTTCCTCCAAAACCGAGAGAATCCTGAATTCTGGCTACAACACTAGAGATTGTAGGACAGAATGTACACTATATCAGGGGTGAAATCCAGCAGGTTCTGACAGGTTCTGGAGAACCGGTCGTGGAGATTTTGAGTAGTTGGGAGAACCGGCAAATGCTACCTCTGGCTGGCCCCGGAGTGGGAAGGGAATGGAGAATTTTGCAGTATCCTTTCCTTGCCACACCCACCAAGCCACAGCCACAGAACCGGTAGTAAAAAAAAAATGAATTTCACCACTGCACTATATACATACAAAAGATGAACAAAAGATGGGAAAAGAATATCAGGGTCTCTTCTTTCTTTTGAGGAACAATGTTGTAGGACAGGGATGGCAAACCTATGACACATGTGCTACAAGTGGCACGCAGAGCTCTCTCTGCAGGCATGCGAGCTGTCACCCCAGCTCAGTTCTACCGCGCATGCGTACACACCTCCCGCCGGCCAGCTGAATTTCAGATCTCTGCCGTGCATGCATGGGAAAATGGAGCACATGCGGGAGACCTGCGCACATGTGGGGGGGGGCAGGGGGGAGCACGGGATGTGTGGCACCTCCCCTGCAGCCTGCTTTTGGTCCCTGGAGGCTGCAGGGAGGCCTACTAGGCCCCAAAATGGGGGCACGGGGGGCAGGAGGGGTAATGCCACCCCACTCCAGGGGAAAGTTACCGCAAAACCCCAATTTCCTCCCAATCAGCTGGGACTTGGGAGGCAGAGGATAGATGGAGACGGGGCCAGCCAGAGGTGGTATTTACTGGTTCTCTGAACTACTCAAATTTCAGCTACTAGTTCTTCAGAACTGGTCAGAAACTGCTGAATACCACTCCTGCACAAGAGGCACAATTCAATTACTGAAAGGGCATCCCAGTCAAGAGAAGTATGTTATTTAATTGTAGATTTTCCTTTTTCAATGTAATGCCCTCCAAATACGTAGTACTACCACACCCTTCATCCCCAATTACCATGAACAGTAATGATAAAAGTTGCTAAAAAAGTAAAAACTGGGGGGGAAAAGAACAACCCAACAATTTCAAAGCTGATTTACAGAAACATGTCACACAGGGATCAAAAACCAGCAGAAGTTTTAGATTTGAAAAATTCAGATTACAACTAGTTTGACCAGTTTATGGATCAGGGCTCCCTCTGACATAAGGAACACAATAGAAACACAGTACAGGTAGTCCTTGAATTACGACCACAACTGAGCCCCAAATTTCTGCTGTTAAGTAAGACATTTGTTAAGTGAGTTTTGCTCCATTTAACAACCTTCTTTGCCACAGTTGTTAAGTGAACCACTACAATTCATAAGTTAGTAAACCAGTTGTTAAGCGAATCTGGCTTCCCCAATCACTTTGCTTATCAGAAGGTCGGATAAGGTGATCACATGACCTTGGGACACAACAAAGGTCATAAATATGAACCAGTTGCCAAGCATCTGAATTTTGATCACATGATCACTGAGATGCTGCAAAGGTCATAACTATGAAAAATGGTCATAAGTCACATTTTACAGTGCTGTTGTAACTTTAAACGGTCACTAAATGAACTGTTGTAAGTCAAGGACTACCTGTATGTTCTTTCTGAGCCTTGGTGGCACAGTGGTTAAAGTGCAGTACTGCAGGATACTTCTGCTGATTGCAATTTGGCAGTTCAAATACCACTAGGCTCCAGGTTGACTCAACCTTTCATCCTTCTGAGATGGGTAAAATGAGGACCCAGATTGTTGGGGGAAATATGCTGACTCTGTAAACCGCTTAGAGAAGGCTATAAAGCACTGTAAAATGGGGAGAAAGGAGCTGACGTCGTGATGGTACAACCTGTGACCTCAGAGCTCCGAGATCACAGTCGACACTTTTGCCGCTGGATGGTCCATTTGGACCTAAACCGTCCCGAAGAGACGGTGACAGGGAAGAGTACATCTTGCTGATCTCAGGGAAGTAAAATACAGTATATACCGTATTTATCGGCGTATAACACGCAGTTTTAAAACTAAAATTGGAAGCTTAAACCCTGCCTGCATGTTATACGCCAATCTCAGCCTGGCGGCAGCGTCACACAGACTGTGGAAGGAGGGGGAGGAGGAGGGAACCAAAGAGAGCTTTTACCGAGTCTGCGCCCCACAGCCAGGACCGTCCTGNCCCACCCAGTCACATGGCTGGCAAGCCACTCCCACCTGGTTACATGTCCAGCAAGCCACTCCCACCCGGTTACATGGCCGGCAAGCCACTGCCACAAAGCAGGTCACACCTACAGAAGTGGTTCTAAAAATTTTGAAACCCACCACTGACTGTACTACTATAAATACAGTTTCAAAATTTGATAAATAAAAATAAAAAAATATGAGAAAGGCTTTTGCCATTAAGGTTGTCTAAGCTGGCTCAATTTTTCAGAGCATCAGATTCAGAAATCTGCACAGTGGTTCTGAAGGAATTCACCAGAGTTGGCTAGGATTAAAATGGGAAAATGCTAAGAGAAGTCCAATTGTATTGTGGATTAGTCAAATTTCTGCAAGACAATATCTCTTAAATGCATGTGTCACTTGCATATTTCCAAAGTTTCCTTTTGAACATTGCTTCACATAGTGGGTTCTTTACAAATAACGGAATCACTCCAGTGTGCATTCAAACAGAAAAAGAAAAAAAAAGGAAATATAGACTGGATTTAATTCTTCAACAGAACTACAACTTGGTACACAGATGATTTACTCTCTGGGAAAAATACTGTGGAGGTAAGACACCCCTTTGGGGTGTGTGTTCTGTTAAGATAAAGCCTGTTGTGCCTTAAAATGGCTTCCACCATACTGCCGTAAAATAGCTTCTACTGTACAGCACAGCGGAGTTGCCATGGTAATGGCTTCACAGTACTCCAAAAGGGGGGTCACTCTGGTAAGGGGGAAAATCCAACATCAGAAATTACATTTGGTCTGGGATTATTTCTGAGACAAATGTATGGATTAGAATAAATAAATACCAGGGCAACGCCGGGTTATCAGCTGGTACTCTATAAACCACAGTATCATCTTTGGCTATTTGGTAACCAAGAGAAGTTCTCATAACTGACTTGCTGTGAATATGGGGGCATATCTTTTTCTTCTGGCTACCCTGAAGGCGGGAAGAAAAAGCCTGCAAGCCTGCATAGATTTATTTTGCATGGAATGTTAGATTCTATACAGCAAGCATTCAAACAACGCTGTTATTAAAAAACACTCACACACATAAGTTCACAGAACTTGGTGGTGTCTGAGGGCCCCAAAAAAAGAATCTAAAAGCCACATGCTGAGGAAATAGGATGCCCAACCCTGTCTTGGAGTTGTTAAGAGAGGCGCCAAGGTACGTAAAGTGATACAAATGGAAAATAACATCTCCAAAATCAGAGAAACATTTGCTCTGATATAAACTTCAATGTCCACACATGATTGCATTCCTGCGACTAGCAGAATCCAGCTTTGGTAGAAATTTTTGAAGAGGACACAGTTCCAGCATAGGAAAGATTAGATCTTAAGTGGGGGAACTATGGAGAAGACATTATTGAATCTCAACCGAAATCAGTCCTAGCTAGCAAGCTCACTAGCAAGAGATGATGGCGGATCCATCATCAACTGAAAATGTCACATCTGAGTTGGCAAGAATCTCATAGATACTCATCACGGGTTCTTTTTTAAATCATAGCCAATTACATTAACTCAGAATCAAGAGATACATAAAAGCACTGGATTGGTGGCTTCTTTATATGTCCTTGGACTTGGTGGCTTCTTTATATCTCCTGTAAGGGCTAGGAAGATTTATTTTGCTTTATAAATATATAAAAGTGAGATGTGAAACCTAACTAATCTATTTGTGAGTACATCCTATTACTTTTATCCTATATTCTTTTCTTTGCTATCATTTCTATACCATTATTGTCTGAGCTGTGATGGCGCAGTGGTTAGAATGTAGTACTGCAGGCTAATCCTGCTGTCTGCCAACTGCTGATTGTGGCAGTTCGAATCTCACCGGCTCAAGGATGACTCAGACTTCCATCCTTCCCAGGTCAGTAAAATGAGGACCCATATTTTTGAGGACAATATGCTGACTCTGTACACCACTTAGAGAGGACTGTAAACCAGAGGTTGTATTCAGCAAGTTCCGACAGGTTCTGGAGAACCGATAGCGGAAATTTGGAGTAGTTCGAAGAACCAGCAAAACCGGTTTCCCTGAACAGGAAAACAGAGCTGGAAAACAAATTAGTGGGGTGGGGAGGGAATGGGGATTTTGCAGTATCCTTCCCCTGCTACACCCACAAAGCCATGCTCACAAAGCCAAGCCATACCCACAAAGCCAAGCCATGCCCACAAAGCCATGCCCACAGAACTGGTAGTAAAAAATTTTGAATCCCACCACTGCTGTAAACACTATGAAGTGGTATATAAGTCTAAGTGCTACTGCCATTGCTATTACTATAACAATTTCCATACTCTGTATTCTATTCCTGCCTGGAATTAAGGGAGATTGAAATCAAATACATCTGGAAAGTGTTGATCAACAGTGCTCAAGAAAACTTTACTTCACCAAGTCCTCCAGCTAG